AAAACGGTTACAACGATAGCGGCGAATATGAACCGGTGGACGATGAAGAGGAGCCAGAAGAAGACGCGGATGATTGGAGCAAATATTCAGGAGACCCAACATTCGCGTCTCGACGCACGAGAGATCGAGATTTCCATGCATGGCCCAGTAAGATCGATAAAGATTCAACGGATATCTGAAGAAGATTCCCAAGAAGTGGATTCTCAGAATATTAGTTGGGATAAAATGAAAAGACTATCGTAATCGTGGAAAAGAAAGTGCCAGTAACTGTGACGATTGAGAAGAAAATTCCGTATTCGGTCTATAAACACGTTCCCTATGAGATCAAAGTGCCCGTGCCACAGCCTTACACAGTGAAAAAGAGAGTGCCTTATCCGGCCAAGGTCTATGTGAATGTACCGGTTGAAATTCCAGAGCCTTATCAAATCGAGAAGCAAGTTCCTTACAAAGTGAAGGTCGGCAACCCTGTGCCGTACAAAGTCGAGGTACCAGTATCGCAACCTTTTAGAATTGAGAAAAGGATTCCAGTCGAAGTACCGATATCATAATCATATACTGTTGATAAGCCGATACCGTAGATAAAAGTACCGATCAAAATATCAACTCTGTATGAAGTTGAGAAGAAGGTATCGGTACCGATGAAGATCGCTATCAATCGGTCGTATCCGGTGGAGATCACCAGACCGTATCCGGTAGAAGTGCCTAACCCAGTAAAAATTAAAGTAGAAAATCTGTGGAAAAACCGTATCTTGTGCCGATCGAAAAGCCAGTTCTGTACTTAACAAAGTGTCGGATCCTCAACCGTATTCCGTAGAGAAACCTGTACCGATAGAAATAGTGAAACCTTATTCTGTTTCGATTAAAGTACCTGTGGATAAGTCTCACGAGGTGTATGAGACAAAACTCTCAGTGACAAAACCCTTCCTATATGTTGCGCAAGTTCCGGTATCAAGCTTGATTGGAAGAATCGAAACATCAAGGAAGATCTGTTGGAGAGCGAAAGCACTAAGATCAAATCATTTCTGCGACCGCAATGGTCAGATCATGAATCATTCACTCGATAAAACCACAGATGTTTGTACTGTTCACCACAAGCAATTCATCATACGCCGTGTACGCGGATATTTTGCATGAAATCATGACAAGTATATTTTATGTAATTTGAAAAGAGATTGAATGCCTATAAAAATTAATTTAACTGAGTTACATAAATTATAATAAGTAACTATAAATTAGAATAATTAACAATTATAATAAGATTGTAAAATATTTCAACATACTTTAGCAATTAAAATAAACTTCAATTCATAATATATGACATGCAAACTACAATTTTGTCACAACACATTACGTAAGATTGTTTTATTTAAAATTCTTATTAGAAGATTTATTTAAGATTTTCTTATTAATATAATATAATTATATTATTATATCTTCGTCAATTATTGTACAATATTTTACTTATGTAGCTGAAATATTCAATCATTAGAGAACATCAATTTATCTATATTAATGATCATGGAAAATATTTGATTGACATGTTTATATAAATTTTACACTAAAATGTGTGTGTGTATATATATATACATGGAATTGAAATATTATTTATTTTTATTTAAGAAAGTATGTAGTTAAATATTTATAAATTATAGTGAAACTAGAAGTATCATTTCATTAAAGCGATATGTAATAGTATAAAAAAAGTTCGGAATCTCTAAGTGAATAATCATATTATTACTTCTAAGTAAGTTAAAATTAATACTAGAACTGAATTAATCTAATTGCGATTTAAAATAAATCTAGCCTTTTACGAGGGACAGTTATCACCATAAAAATAAAATTATTTGTAATTAGTTATAATTATTTATGAAAAGTCACAAAAATCTGAAACGTGCAAATCTAAATTAATTCGAAAAGAAGAACTATCAGATGGCATAGCCGCAATTCTAGTGTTAACAAATTAATTTTTTATTATGTAACACGAAACTCTCTAACAGATCTACGCAACAGGATGTGCATACATATATTTCGTTGATTTATATCAGTTTATTTAATTATTATTATTTCCAACGTGCATAAATAAAACTAAAACACAACACGTAAGTGTGAAATTACTTTTCTAATTATTTTCCTAGTTACTTCCCTATCTGCGTTTGATCAGGGGAAAGGAAGTAAAGGACGGTCGTAAAACCGTAGTAATAAAACCAAACTTTGTTTTTGTTATTGGATCACTAATTACATAAAAATTAGAAATTATTCTTTTAATTTTCGTACGCATTGTTTTTGTTATGATGTACCTGCATTAAATTTTGCATTCCTGGCTAACGAGGTAATTGATCTTTTTGCTTGTTTGTTTTGACGTAATTAAAATAAGAAAATTGTATGATTTTCATATGGTCTAATAAAAATAATTATCTATTTTATATATTTCTATATATTTACATAATAATTATATATTTAATAGAAGGTTTTCATATGTGATTGTTCGATCTCAATAATATAACAAATTTTAATAGTTTAAACATATGTATCTATATTGTATTTCCGTTCTATTCTATTAGAGCTTAATAAAAATATTTTTTATAACTGCAGTGAAAATGCAATTTCTGTTGATATCATCAAGAATCTTAGTTGCTTTAATCTGCTCTAATTTTAACCGACGTAATGTCTGAACATTCACTTTTTTCTTCTTCAGCAATTAGTCTCGCTTACTTCTTTTCATTTTTTTCGCTATATAGCTATCGCTACAGATATGCATCTATCTTTGAATATTAAATTAAAAATTAAAATTTCAAATATATAATTGCATTTTAAACAAATGTATTTCCAATCTTTAGCTAGTAAAATAACTCTTGCTTCATTTATCGTACTTTTCTCTTTGCGGTTTCTTGTTTACAACATTATTATATTTTAGCAAAATTCATATCTATTTTCTCTCTGCATTTTCATTTTTTATTAAATATTTCAAATTGTATTTTATATTACCTCTCAATATTCAAATCATATTATCTTGCAATATTCAAATTGCATACATAATTTTTCTTTCTTCTTGTTATTTTCTTTTATCAATAGAATCCTTTTAGCATATTTTCTAATTGCTATGAATAATTAAATTCGCTACGCGGACGCAATAACTAGCAATAATTAGTAAGTACAAAACGTTTGATATTATTTTGTATCATAAACTTACTCGAATCCAATCTTAATTACATTTATTATCGCCGTATGCTTTTAGAGATTTATTTTTCTCGTATTAATATCAAGTATTTTAAAAGTATATCTTTCAATTAGAGCAACTCGTCGTGAGACAATTTGCCGTGTGGCACTCCTAGGAAGCAATGGATAAACGCGGTCAATCTCACATCGGTGCAGTGTTCTTAAGATCTATTTCTTCTCCTTGCCCCGTTCAACTATCCTCTCACCGGACACTTTTCACTTTTTCTCTCCTCCTACCGTTCCTGATTCTTCCTCTCGCGCTCTCCCTCGGACCGCAGGGGAGACCGTTAAGCCTCCATCGTCATGTTCCTCGTCTCGGCCGAGAGAACTCGTACGTACAGTATACCGCGTGTCCTTCCGTGGGGACCGGATACGGAGGGGGTCACTACAAAATCCTACCGGACGGTACGCATGAGCGAGAAACTTACGAGATGGATGGCGGAGAAAGATTGGCTCGGTTGAAAAGAGGAGGGTAATGATAGCGAAGGAGGAATGGAAATGCATCTACGCGCCCAGTGGCGTAGATAGACAGGATCAAAAGGACGAAAGATCCTTAAATTGATGATAGGAGAATCGTGAGTCGATTTGAAGATTTATACATCATTATTTAGTAAAAGAACGTAACGCAACTAGAGAATTTTTTAGAGAATTTTGTCTTTATATGTGTATTTTATTGATATTCTCTGAGCGTCTTAGAGTAATGACTATTTCAATGACATCGCATTGCCTAAGAATAGACGACGTTTTTATTTTATTATATTGACACGCAGTAGAAGATATTTATTCTCACTAAATTAATGATATATAATTGTTCATCACATAATTGTAATTCGGTTTAAGGACTTTAATGTACATTTCGCATAATATTAGATTACCTTTTTACTTTTTTATTGTTATTTGTATTCCTTGCTTCTTAGCTTGTATTTTTCTTAGATTTGATTACTTATTCCAATTACAATTTTATATTATATTTGTACTTTTTAACAGAAACAAGTTATGTTTGTCCATAATCTATATACATTATCAAGAGGAATATATGGTTTTCGATTACAACATTTCTGCAACATTTATTCTAAATTGAGCAAGTTTGATTATTAATGATGCGATAGAGAGCGAACTTTGATTTTTGTATATCTTAACTATGTATATATATTTCCACCGTTTTTGTGTACATTGATAATGATCCAACAGAGATCGAAACGTTTGTTTTGTTTTGTTAGTTACCGGCAAATTAAAGTTTATATTTTGACTAGATGACATGTTTTATTTATTAGTTTAACAGTTTTAAAAATTTTTATTTTATAACGATTATTTTAGGCTCGTAGCCCTTTGTCTTTCTGTTTTTCAGAGAATCTTTTGACAATTTTTTGCAGATATAATATAATATCTTTTTAATTTCTTTCAATAAAATGTTTTGTCATTCGTATCAGAATTTCACATTATATATATAATCGTTATAGAATTTTGAAACATCTTTTCTTCTGCGTTTATTTATTTCGAGTGACAGGTGGTTGTAAAATATTCTCATTTCCAACGAACGTACTTTCTAGTTTTGATTCTTTTTAATATTACTGTTGAAGGAACTTCCGGTGTTCCGTAATTTTCCACAGTGGCTACGCCGTTGCTCGCGATTATGGAAGCACTGTAGCTTGTGCTCAGGATTTATAAAAAAAAAAAAAATGCCATAACGCGCCGTGTACGTCGGGCGAGCGCCAGACGCGTGTTTCACTTTTCCGCGAGAGTGCAGAGGGGCTCGCTTGGTACACATCGGGGGAAAGCGGGCTATAAAGACGATGGCATCTTGGGGGGAAGCATTCAGTAAAGTCTGGATATTGACCAGATCGTGAGAGACTTGGTAGAGACATGAGAATTTTGGTAAGTTTGCTCTTTCGTTCGGGGCGAAATTAGTTGCACTTATAGATTCTCAAATTAGCTTTGTTTAATCATCTTGCCTACATCATCTTATCGGGATTTCAAACATGCATATTAAGCATAACCGTGAAAAGTGTAGTTTTTAAACAAATTATTTAAAAGTTAGTTTAAAAGCCATTTAAATTGACTAATGTTGCTTTGATATTATAATAAAAGTAAATTTAATAAACACAGTCGAGGAACAAAAAGAAATAGTTGATCTGGATAGTCAGGCTTACATATTTTATGTAATCTGCTACACTATGTCGTATTGACAAGGCCATTAACAACTGTACTTAATAGCATTTTTCCAAGAAGTAAATCATTAATGCTGCAACAGTAAGCGACTGATGTAATCAGTATGACGTTTCGATTACAGTTTCTCACGGTGTTAGTGGGGCTGCTGGCCTTGGCCGTGTGCGAGAAGAAAAAGGAGATTACGAGTAAGCCGAGCAAAAATGCTGAACGCGAGAAAAAACAGGAAAAGCGCGGACTGATTCACGTCGAGGGAGACTTTGGAGGACACGATGATGGTGGCGGTTATGGTGGCGGTTATGGTGGCGGTTATGGTGGCGACGGCGGCGGCTTTGAATCTTCCCACGATATCGGCGGCGGAGATATTGGTGGCGGACACGACATTGGCGGTGGTTATGATGGTGGTTACGGTGGCGGCGATAGCGGTGGTCATGATGGTGGTTACGGCGGTGGCGGTGGCGGTGGCGACGACGGTGGCAAGATCAAGCAGATCACGATCGTGAAGACCGAGAAGGTGCCTTATCCGGTCGAGAAGAAGGTTCACTATCCGGTGGAAAAAGAAGTACCGTATCCGGTTAAAGTGCCAGTACCGCAGCCATATCCGGTCGAGAAAAAGATCCCAGTACCGGTGAAGGTTTTGGTAAAGGTACCGGTTCACATACCGCAGCCGTATCCAGTCGAGAAGAAGGTGCCTTATCCGGTTCACGTGCCGGTAGAAAGACCGGTACCCTACAAAGTATATATCCCCCAGCCGTATCCAGTCGAGAAGAAAATAACATATCCAGTGAAAGTACCGATACCGCAACCGTTCCCAGTGGAGAAGCCCGTGCCGTACACTGTGAAGGTTCCAGTGCATGTAGCGCAACCCTTCCCCGTGGAGAAACCAGTACCGTACCCCGTGACAGTGCCCGTTGAACGACCGTACCCAGTACACGTGGCTAAACCGTATCCGGTCCCAGTTGAGAAACCAGTACCGTATCCAGTTGAAAAGAAAGTACCCTACCCAGTCAAAGTTCACGTGGAGCGACCAGTAGGAGTGCCAGTAGAGAAACCAGTGCCCGTCCACATTAAAGTACCGGTACCGGCGCCGTATCCAGTAGAGAAGCCAGTACCTGTGCCGGTCGAGAAACCGGTGCCCTATGCCGTAAAAGTGCCTGTCGAACGACCCGTGCCGGTTCACGTGACGAAGCCAGTGGCTGTGCCGGTACCCAAACCGGTACCGTATCCCGTAAAAGTGCCGATAGCGGTACCAGTGCACGAGCACGACTCCGGAGATGGAGGTGACTACGAGTCCAGCTTCGGGGGATACTCGGGACATTATTAATATCAAAAAGCGTGGCAGTGGAGGATTTTTTCTTTTTCAACTTAAAAAGAAATTAACGAAAGAGAAAAGAAAATGCGTTAAGATGAAGTAATAATCAAATGTAAATAATTAAATTTCTTAATTCGACTCAATGATTTTAATCAATTTGTATATAAAAACATTAAATTGTATTAAATTGTGTATATATTCATGGAAAGAAAACTAGAATTAGATCGTGTTAATTTGTAGAAATTAAATTCGAGATATACAGATAGACTGGGTAAGTGATTCATAGAGGGGCTCAAGAAAATTCTCCACTGCGTCATACGAACGAACGTATCAGCGCGCATTACGGAATATCGCAATAACATTTCTTCTACATGTTTTTCAAACGCATTGCGTCGAGAAGAAAATCATAGAGCAATGCGATTCGTAACGCGGTCAACGATTGATCTTTCATACGGGAGCGTTTAACGAAGCGTTTCCTCGGCACTCGCGAGTCTCGAATTTTATTTTTCGAAGTGTAAGTCTGCGAGGAAAACGCGGACGTATTTATTTTTCTAACTTAACGTCGTTCTCGCCGCGGGATCCGACGAGGGAATGATGAGTTTGCAGAATAGCCGATTTTGCGCCGTGAAAGATGATTATGGGTCTCCGAGTCTGCTTAGAGTCAGCGCTAACGATTTCTTAGATATATAGTATCGACAACTTAAATACCTACGAGAACATATGTACTATGTTTCTTACGACGTTTGGAATTTGTAACGAACGTCTTTGTACGATGTCTTTCGCTTCTTTCTAATAAAACCAAAGAGCAAAACGACAGCCTTGGAATTCATCCTAGCCTCATTTGCCATTCTTTAGAAGAGATATGAAAACTTGTTTATTTTTTATATGCTTGACCTTCTTTAATAAATTTTGCATACTAAGCAATTTGCAGCTCTTGTACTCCTTTCCCTTGCGAGCGAAATTGAATTAGGTAAAATCAAATTAATATACATTCAGCTCAGTCAGTATACGTTAGATTTCTTTGACATTCATTGGAGATCAAGCAGTTGAACAGTAAAGTGATTTATATATTACGAGACAGATTTTCTCTGTTTAACGTCATCTGACGTTTCTCACGCCAACGTCAATATCCTTGAACTTCGTTGTAGCGTGACAAATTATTTATCTCCGATCGCGTGCGTCCGATACGGTATTCGCTCCGCACGAGCGGCATTTGATGGTAACCGAGACGGTGTTCCGGTTCCCTGTTCCGGCGCATCGAAGAGTCGGAAAGAGAGGTAGAGCGAAAGCCATTTTCGTAATTTTGGCCGCAGCGTACGCGGAAATTCGCCCGATAATTAGCTAAAGTCTCTATGCGTAATTAAGCCTCGTACGGTCGATGGAAAAGAGTGCATACGTAACACTTCCGATTCGATGATATCAGCGTCCTGTTTTCTGCCTCGCGACCTATCATTCAGATCGTGCGAATCTCAGGCATTACCGATTCATTCGCGCATCATATTAGCTGCAAACGTGTGTAACGAGAGTTGGAGAAAGGACTCCCGCGTGCCTCTCTTTCTCCTGATCTACCAATGAACAGATCACAAGAGGAGGAGCACGCGGGATCGCGAATCAAAAGTGAAATCGCCGATCTCATGCACGAGGCACGCGGCTACGCAGAATTGTTCGCAACGGGATTATCCGCTTCGGGCGTATTGGAAACTACATATGAAAGTACGTAGCAGGTGTTCTTTTATTGCCAAATCAGCAAGACTAGACTTGTTGAAATAACAACGTATCCTGCAGAACGTAAACGCTATGCAATTTATCAGATAATATTATTATTGCAAGAGATAATATTATTGTATGTTTTTTACTGTACGATTTTTCTCATTATTATAATGTCGCAATTTTCACACGTGTTTCACACTTTATATTTTAATTATCGCTGTCGCAATTACAAAGATCGTCGGAAGAGTTAAAAATATACTGACCTCATAATTTTTATATTTACGCGAGATCGATCGTAAGGAACCGAGATAATGTTTGAATTATGAGAAGTACTCACCGTATGTAGGGAATATTGGCCGGGATGTGATACTTCGCTCCTGGATCGAAATCGTCCTCGGATCGCAGAACTGGTGGTTTCGTGCCCGTGTATTGCTCCTTCAATCTGTGCCAATGACAATTGTACTCCTCTTTATTGACGTAGCCGCGGAAGACGTCCCATCGCCACCTATCCATCGCGATGCTGAAGGGTAGCAGCACTAGTTTATCCATCGCCAGGGCGAAGAGGTAGTTTATGTCTGCCGAGCGTTCATCGATGAACGTGTTCGCCAGGCCCAGAGTTTGCAGATGCTGTGGCGTCGTGACGCTCAAGGCGACGGCTTCGCCGACCGCCTCGTGGAATCCTGATGATTATAGTAATAAAGTTTTGGCATAATGATATGTAATAACTAGATAAAGAGTCGTGAAAATCATCACAGTTGTTTTCTTCGACAGTTGTTATTGGAGAACGTTTTGCTTGTAATAGATTTTATAATAGTAGTTATCAGTGGGTCAATATGGATTTATCTTTCTTTCACGTTATTAGATATTACGTTTATGATTACAAGTTATCTTTATAGTTGAGTAATGAAAGATCTTTAATCTACTTCAAACATTATAACCACGAATAAATTCTTGATTTTAGATTTCGAGTTTCGTTGCGAACGTTTTAAAGGAGTTTGGTTGTTTGATAATCGAACGGTGAAAGTCGATGTCAGACTAAACAGATGGTTTGTCGTTGAGTTCCGTCTACGATTATCGCAAAGTTTCTCGAGGTTCTCTACGGATAACCTGGTGACTTTTTGCGCTTAGTGCGATTTAGCATTAACCAGGATGTAATTACGTTTAGCGTGGATTAGTCGAGCGTGGCAGATGATGCTGATTATTTCCCTTTTCTTCAATCATATTTCCCCATGCAAACCGCACACACGCCTTGAATGCATAATTAATAGTAGTGTGATTTCGTAACTTGAAACTAACTTTAATTAGGCGTTACAAATACGAAGGTGCGGAATGCAGATGAAAATCTGCGATAAAAATTATTGGAGAATGCAGACAAAATTTGTTGCTGAAGTGATTCTGAAATAATTTTAAATTGTACAACGACACGGATTTCAATAGGAGCGATAGAATAGATCGTCTTCATGACGGAAACTAAGTAGATATTTGACTATAATATAAGAAGACCAGGTCTAACTAATTTCAGTGATGTGCAATTGTTCAAAATAATGATATTTGTGACCAACCAAAAATTAGTCAGAAATGTTATAAGTCAATATTAAGTTTCTATTAAAAATTCACTTCAAATTTATATTTAGCTGTTATTATACGTAATGTTACACCTGGCCTTTTTACATCATGGATTTGACGTTCGCAGATTTTACGCAAAGTCAGTATCAAACGATCGACAAGGCCACCGATGCGAAGCTGTTCTCGTTGATTCAAAACAATCCGTGTTCCGGTGTGAGGCGAACGACCGGGCCGGCCGTTGCTACGGTGAAAGCGTGATTATACCGTAATAAAAATATTTTAACGTGCGCCCGACGCCAATGTACGAGAGTAACATCTACTCGCCTATTCGCGAGTACCGTAACACGCGGCGTACACCTCGAGCGTGTCGTACTCGCTCTCGCTTTCGAGCTATTAGCCGTAAGACGTACACAGGTTGGCTGTGCCTTCCGGAAGTCGGCCGAGAGTCGGACCCGAGAGTCGCTCTTATGCAACGCGATGTCGTCTATCCGGTACGCATGCCGTCACCGACAGTTTTGTAGCCTTTTGTTTGCGTTTTTCTTCCCGGCACAATTTCCAATTAATGCACTTACACATCACACCAAATATCAACATTGTTAAAAGCGGATGTTGATGTCCCGTAGTTTTCTAAACTGTCTTAATGCTCTTATAATAAGCATCGTTTTGTATTATATATTGAGAAAGACAGAGACAAAGAAAAAATACTATATAATTTTATTTTTGACAATTAAAAATTTGTTTCGTATTTTGCGATTTGTTGTACTTTATTGTTTTATTCTTGATTTCGATCTTGCTCAATTTTTTGTTATCTTTTGAATTTCATAAAATTTATAATAATAATTATGAAAATTTAAAATTTATAAATTAATTCAATAAATTTTATCTTTAATTAATAATCGCATGCAGATTGATCACATTGTGATTTTTAATTTAAATTTAAATTTGTTATATGTTTATTTAATATGTTAATTATAGAAAATATGTATATATACATTATTGTTTTAGTCTTGATTTCTATCTTGCTCGGATTTTTTGTTATCTTTTAAGTTTTGTAAAATTTATAATAATAATTGTATAAAATTTGAAATTTATAAATTAATTCAGTAAATTTGATTTTCAATTAACAATCGCACGCGGATTGATCACGTTATGATTTTAAATTTAAATTTAAATTTATTGTGTGTTTATTTAATATGTTAATTATAGAAAATATGTGTATACTTAAATTATGCACATATTTTTTATAATTAACATATAGAAAATATGTGTATAATTAAGTGTGTGTGTGTGTTGTGTGTGTGTGTGTGTTTGCGCGCGCAAATTGAAGATTTCAAACATATTTACCTGGATTAGCGCCGTCACGAAATTCTCGAGGTAGACCACTGTATCTCAAAAAATACTGAATGTGTGCCATTTCGTGATGCAAAGTTATTAAATCCTTCATCGTCACTTTTGTACACATTTTGATTCTAAGCATAAAAATAACAAATTAAAAACTCTTATTCTTATTTTATAATCTTAACATCACAAGTTTAATAAGCAAAAATGTTTAATGCTTGCAACATGCTTTTGCTGAGTAAAATTGGCTAAACGTATTAACCTGTAATCTATCCGATTACAAAAATCCCATGCAGACGCCTGACAAATTAATGGACGGTCGCCAGGATCGGCGAATACACTTCCGGCCCAAAATTCCGGTGGCATTGCGCTCAAATTCAAGGACAGATAGAATTCCTCGGCCACTCGAATCATGTCAATAGGAGTGTAGCCCTAATAATATATAATAATATATAATATTAGTTATATGTATTTATCAACTTATTTTATAATGTAATATTAGTTATATGTATTTATCAACTGATTTTATTCTCTAAAACCACAAGAAAGAATGATTAAAGTATCTAAAAATTGAGCTAGATTATTCATACTTAAA